CAGATTGACGCGGTAAAAAAGGTACAATAATTTAAATCTTAGGTCATCTTGATCGATCGAGAGTAAAGTAAAGTGTACGGTGATTAGGTACGGCGTCAGAATGTAGCACACTACTGGGGTAATGATTGGAGGAAGAACTTCATCAAAACTACTAATTTAAAAACATTGGCGAACATTTACAGAGAGGGAAAGGCGGAAAAAGGAAGAGGACGGGAGGAAACTACAATTGCTTTTATTAATGCGATGTCAAGTGCAATCAGGCCTTGGAGTAGGCTCGATGGTGCTTCTGACTGACATCAGTCAGGTAGTAGGTGCCCGCACTGAGCTGCGACACATCGCCCGTGGGCGTGTACGGGGCGAGGCTGTGGGTCTTCTCGCGCAGATTGAGCGTCTCCTCAAACTGGGCGGCGGCGACGCTGGTGCGCTGCTCGAGGCGCTGAGGTATATCACTGACGCCTTTCACCAATCGAGACAGGGCAGAGTTGTCAGAAGTGTCGCCAGAGATGCGTGCAGAGAACATCGAGGCCGCCAGGCCGGAGCCGTAGGAGAACAGCAGAATGCGCTTGTTCGCCAGATTCTCTATTTTATCACTGTGAAAAATGGAAAAAGGTGTGAATATAGGTGGATTTTAAAAGTGCCTAACCACGCAGCCTTACCTCAACAGATAGGAAATAAGACAAGAATAAAGTGAAGCGGTGTACATGTTGCCGATCTCTCGGGCGAGCATCAAGCTCGGATCGGTCCGCTGGTTGAAGATGTCCCCGCTGAGTGTGAGCAGCACCTTCTCCAGATCACGATCATTGTAGGACTCTTCTAGTTTGATATTTCTAAAAAGTAAAAAATGTGACTTTAGTACGAATGGAGTAAATAAAGCGATAAAGGCACACCACGTACTTGTACTTTTCGAGCTGTGACGGCAATGAGTCAGGGTCTTGTGCCTTCTTTCTGAGACTGTTTAGCAGGTACATTCGCGCCACTGATTTTTGAACTAATTTACAGTAGGGGGCGTGAAAGAGAATGCCGTCAAAGTTCTCCAGCTGAACGGAGCGCGCCTTCTTCCCCGGCTCATTGGCCGCCGGGCAGTTGACGTGCGCTCGGTTGACCTTGTCAAAGTAGAGGTTGTAGCACTGGTCCAGCGCCTGCAGGTAGCACTGGTTGGAGAGGGGCCCGTCCACGTACGGATATTCAGAGGTGAGATCGGGCTTGTAGAAGTCGTACACGTTCGCCATGTACGTCGAGCGAACGCGCCGGTCAAAGATGACCGCCGCGTTCGGGCCGACCAGCATTGCCACAGCGCCTACGCCGCCTGAAAAAAGAAGAAAAAGAAGTTGTAGAAAACAACTCAAGCCAAAGGACTACCAGAAAACATACCGGTGGGGCGGGCAGGACCGCTAGCGTAGACGGCAATGTCGCCGGCAATGACGAGCGCATAGCGACCGTCCCAGGAACTGGACTCGATCCAGTCGATGGCGTGAAAGAGGGACGCAGTGCCGCCGTAGCAGGCATTGGTCGCGTGGACGCCCTCGATGTCCGTATTGCCGCTGTCCTTGAAGAGGTCCATGAGGACGGTCTTGACGCTCTTTGACTTGTCCACTATCGTCTCCGTGCCGATCATCATGAAGCCAATGTCCTTGGGCGATATTTGGTACTTCTTGAAGAGTCGGTCGGTGACGGTGAGGCAGATGGAGGCAATGTCCTCGCGGTCATTGCAGAAGGCCATCCGCTTCTGGCCCAGACCGACGGTGTACTTGCCCTTGGAGACGCCGTTGAACTCCTCCAGGTTCGTCTGCTCCACGTACGTCGTGGGGAAGTAGATGTCCATGGCGATGATGCCCACATTCTCCGGCCAGACTCGGCTGCCTCCACCATTCTGCTGACATCCGTTCTGCTGACTGCCGGGCATGGTTGCTGCTCAGGTTTCTGTCTAAGGGGGAGAACGACAGGCTTCTTCTTCTTCTTCCTTCTCAGGCAGTAATTTTAAATAATGTTCTGGGTGAGAAAGAGAGCACAAAAGAATGAAGCTCAGTTGAAGAAGTGAACAAGTGAAAGTGGACGAGGTGAAGCAAGCAGGCAGGACTTTTAAAAGGAAGCTATCGGTAAATGAGGAAGAGGGAGAGTGTGAGGAGAACGCTAACTAGCTGCGGCATCAAAAGTCGGCGAAAGAAACGTCATCGAGTGTGCATTATCTAATTCTGAGCGGCAATGGCATCAAGAAAAGTAATGCAAAGGCCAACTGAAGCGTACTCGAAGACCAGGACTGTGCTTTGCAACGAAGTCGAAGACGACAACAACGACAACGTCCGAAGGATTTTACCCACTTTGAGGAAAAGCAGAGGATTGTAGTACAAATAAAATTGGTAGTCTGAGCAGACAATGCATGTGCACTGCAAGGGATTATAATGTGCCAGCAAATGTGTGAACACGGTGGAAACGACCGTGAGCACTGCTACTGCAACGGAGTGAGATGCTAATGTGAAGACCAATGTCAAATCTAGACACTTTGGGGGCAACTTTACGTTGACACAAGAAGGGAGAAAGAGAAAGAAAGAAAAAGAAAAGGAGAGAGATAAAGCAGATAGTACACAGTGGGGCAACTAAATAACAGATGAGAAAAGGAGGTAAAAATGTTAACCACACTTGGGGACAAATTGGCGAGAGGACTACAATAACAAGAGGACTAGCAAATGAAACGATAATGAAAAGCAGCAGACTGAAACGCATTACATAAGCATCACATGTCGTCAAGGTGAAGACATTCGGCGGAATAATTTAATATAAAGCGATTTTATACCACTGCCCTGTACAGTGACTCGACACAGTTTTCACTCTACCGTACAACGACAGTTGAACACTCATCGCCAAACACACTTACCAAATGATGAGTGAGGCAACAGAAGAGGCAATAGCAGCCCGGATTACCAGAAAACACCAAACAGAAGTGAGGGGAAGTGAAATTCACACAGAAAACAGTCGGATGAGGAAGGAGACGAATGAGGTGGTTTTTAGCAGCACTACTTTAGCTGGATAGCCGAGGGGAGATGATAGAAATCAGTTAAATGATGCTGCAAAAAGTGGCTTAGAAAACTAGTGACCACTAGTTTCGGTCACTTCTGCTCTAAAAAAGGTACTTTTTAGGGGTACCTTTACAGTGGTCAAACTTCACCGACACTGCCTCGGACCACTGAGAGGATACTGACACTGCTGGCACAGGCACTGACTGACTTCCACCACCACCAACACAGCTGCCTGCGTTAGCTAAGGAGCAGGGGAGAAAGAGAAAATAGTGACACGACGCGGGAATGGACTGTAGAGCTGGAAAGCGGTGGTCATCGAGAGTTAAGGGCAAGTGGCTACCACTGTCAGAGTGGACTGATGCTGCTGCTGCTGATGATGATGAGGCAGTCGATGAGTGTGTACTTTTTCGGTGATGGAGCAGAGGGGGCAGTGAGAGAAGTGGCCACCACTGCAAACACAGTCAGTGTCCAGCAGCAGCACTGGACGCAGGCATCGACACCGGCGGGCAGACGGACAGTTCAGAGGAGTCTCTCTTTCGACGGCCACCGACCACTGATGATTGTTTCATGCTCACCATTATGATGGTGGCGGTGGTGGTGGCCAGCGAGCCAGCAAGTATGCAACAAGTTCAGGGGAGAGGGAGCGAGAGAGGGAGATCACTTGCCAGAGATAGACGCACACTCTGCTACACTCCAACAAAGACGGCGGCGGTGGCGGTGGTGGTGGCAAAGTGCGAGATCACCTTCAGCTGCTGTTGCCGAAGCTAGCCAGGACACCACACCAAACCGGGTTTGCCACCACCACTCTCTTCATCTCAGGAGCACCACAAACGGTGAACCTTTTTCATTTTCCTCTTTTTGCCTCTCTTCTCCAGCACTTGCTACAAAACGTGAACATTTGCCTAAGCCGTAAGCCTCTGCTAAGCTCAGTCACTCTACTTCAATTACCGGCAGTTTGCATACATCTGCCGGCATTTTCCAAGTGCATCAAATACCACGAGAAACGGCACAGCAAACTGANGCACCACACCAAACCGGGTTTGCCACCACCACTCTCTTCATCTCAGGAGCACCACAAACGGTGAACCTTTTTCATCTTCCTCTTTTTGCCTCTCTTCTCCAGCACTTGCTACAAAACGTGAACATTTGCCTAAGCCGTAAGCCTCTGCTAAGCTCAGTCACTCTGTTTCAATTCCCGGCAGTATGCATACTTCTGCCGGCATTTTCCAAGTGCATCAAATACCACGAGAAACGGCACAGCAAACTGACAAACAGTGGCACAACTTCACCGTTTGTCAGTGGTCGCCGACAGAAGAAAAGAAAAAGAGAGAAGACCGAGTCAGTCAAAGTCACACCGAGACAAATAATAAAAATGGATGATAAGGCAAATTGTTTCAGACACGCTATGAATTTGCAAATGCACCAAAGTGCGCCGCTGTGTGTGATTAGAGATAGATCGATAATGAGGCTATAAATAGAATCTCATCCACTCTAATCTATCATCAGTCTGTAGCAAACTGAGACTGCAGCTGAGTAGTTAGCAAGTAAAGAAGGTGCATATATTGGCGCGAATTTATGTATATTGGTCACTGTACATAAACACACACCTGTCACTGCAAAACAGACAAAAAGAGTACATCTCGGAAGGAGGAAGACGGGGGAAAAACAAAGCTGAGAAAATGAGCAGAAAAAAGTTTGCCAATTCTCACTCATTTATGGGCAATTTGTAGCAGCGAGAAAGAAACTCTACCACTCATAGATCAACGCTTGATAATAATTAAACTGGATTCGCTTAACAAGCGACCACAGCGTGCTCGTTCGCCCCCCTCCTCTCTCCATCGGCGATGTGTGTGTTTGCCCAAGTTCATCAGTTTTGGCAAACTCGTTTGCCTTTGCCATTTTCCCTGTACCCAACATCAGCGTCGGGAGAGAAAGAGAGACGGAGAGGCACTACCACTGATGGTACTGAAAGCTGCTGCTGCTAAGCAGATCTTAGCGGCACCGTGTGATCACATCAACCGGGCGCATGAAAAAGTTGCAAAAATGGCACAAGTGAGCTCATAAAAGCAGCCAAAGTCTTAAGTGCGTCTGAAACCAGACAGGCTAAGGCTCGGTGATCTCTAATTGCACTTGCGTAACACACGGTGTGAGAGCGGAAAAACACATCTCTAAAAGTAGGCAAATTAAACACACATGAAAATCATGAGGAAAACATAATGGAGAAATAAATCACATAAACACCAATGGGACAACTTAAAAAGACAGTTTCATTAACATTGGGAAAATATTTGCACTCAAGATTTAACAAGCAACTGCACATATTATCATCGTGAAAGATATCAACTTACCTACTACCACAGGCGTGCCAACTTTAGCAATTATTCATGGGAACGATGCTGAAGATCACAGACTGAAGAAAACAAAGCTCCAACAGCAGCAGCAACAACAAAAGAGGAAAAACTTGTAGAACAGAAGCGACTCTTCAGTTTGATGGACAGATGCACAGCTGATTCAATCTGACGCAACAACTCGCCGGATGATGGTGACGGTGATGGTGATGATGATCTTCACTGGTGATGACGAAGCTCACCCCACTTGCAGTGATGCGCCAGAGATTAGCCGCCACGGCCGCCCCGGTTACCGGCACAGTTGATGCTGTCTTAGAAGGTGAATGGCATCCTCTTGAAGAGAGTACAATCGTCTCTCGATTGCCGTACAAAGGATTTGTCGCGCAGACTAGAAAAGAGTGTTTTCAAAAAATAAATAGAAAATCCTAAGCTCGTCCTTTCGCAGAGGACGAACCGCCGGCGCCGCCGGTGCGGTCGCCGATCGACAGAGGGAGCACCGCATCGGCTTCGCCAACACAATGAACGAGTCATTTCGCCCATGTGCTTTCTCTTCTCGCCGCCTCTTCTCGCATCTTCCACCAGCACTCTCTTTCTCTCCCTATCTCTCTTCAGGCGTTGACCAGCTTCTGCTCTGAATCCCTCTCTTCTGTCTTGCCGGCACTCCCCCGCTCACCACCACAACCAACACCACCACCACCACCAACTCACCATCTTATCACCCCTATCTGAACCACAGTAGAAGAACAACAACCCAAAATGGCCCTGCCGATTCCCCGCGCTCCCGGATTCTCGTCGATGCTCAAGGAGGGCACCCGGTACTTTGCCGGCGTTGAAGAGTCGGTGCTGCGAAACGTTGAAGCATGCACCGAGTTCTCCAAGACCATGAAGTCCTCCTACGGACCGCGTGGCCTGAATAAGATGATCATCAACCACCTGGAGAAGCTCTTTGTCACCTCTGACGCGGCCACCATCATCAACGAGCTTGATGTCAACCACCCGGCAGCCAAGCTGATCATCCAGGCGTCCAAGATCATGGAGCATGAGGTTTGTTTACTTTGTGAATCAAGTGATTTTATATGCTAAACTTGCTTTTTCATTAAAGGTTGGCGATGGCACCAACTTTGTCATCCTCCTGGCCGGTGCTTTGCTTGAAAGTGCCGAAGATCTCGTCCGACTCGGCCTGAAGCCAACGGAAATTGTCGAAGGCTACAACTTGGCGGCCAAAAAGATCTTGGACGAGATTCTCCCTACAACTGTTGTTACTGAGGTGAAGGACGTCAAGAACGTCGAAGAAGTGAAGCGATCTATTCGCAGCTCAGTCATGAGCAAACAGTACGGCAATGAGGATTTTCTGGCCGATCTGATTACCAAAGCTTGCATGCTCGTGTACAAAGATCACTTTGATATTGACAGTGTGCGAGTTTGCAAAATCTTGGGCTCTGGAATCGAGAGCTCTCAAGTGGTCAACGGTATGGTCTTCAAGAAGCTGGTATGTAAACAAATTCAGTCTTACTTTCCCAACTCTAATATCTCACTGTTTT